TGCTGATTGAAAGTTGATAATGCTCTCTCTTCAAGTTAAGTGTCAATAATGAATATTGATTGTGCATTTGTTTTACGAGGACTGTAATGCATTCAATATTCAACGTCTGACCTCAATGGTTCACACATTGGATGTTGGTGAGTAACACTGAATGTTAATATAAGTTTTGTTTTTTCAAAAAATCCACTGGGAACTTTTAAGCCTGGAGTTATTCAACCCACCCTAAAAAGAAAAGAAGAGATATCAATTTAGCAAAAAACAGAATATGATAAAAAAAAAAAACACCATTTAAATTGCTGAATTTCTAATGCACTTAACCAATATTCACTCTCCTTTTAACTTTGTTTTTCCCCCTATCAAATACTTAAACCAATTTGATGGCAGTGGTAAAACGTAGCAGTGAAGTTGTGGGTCACTACATTAAGACGATGAGATGAAATCACTGCAGAGTTGGGTGATAATTCTCTGTGCGTCCACTATGAGCATTTCACATTATGCATAGTCATTTGACCCTCTGTGAATATAACATCCAGGTTTAATGCAGCTCTACACATAAATGGCTTGTCTTTTTTTTGAATGCCCACCTGTTTAGAGCTCATTTATCTTCCATTTGACGAAAACTGATGACTCTGTTAAGCTCTTAGTCATACGCCGTTAAGCCTATTAAGTGTAGTCTTTAAGCCTTGTTAAGCCTTCATAATGATTACAGTTAACCATCAAATGTGCTAATTTACTTGAGTAGGCAGCCTTTTTTTATTTTGATTCTGGGACAAAGTGCACTGGTCATACTGATCAACTAGAGGGAGCAGCCAATAGAATAACAGTACAGCTGCATTTCTGTCAGCACACACAGTCACACACAGAGTATCATAATAGAGTTCATCTCACTGCGGTCATCTCTTCATTAACACAGTCATTGTTCTGCCACCAAGAGAGAATCCGTCTCTGTCCGTCTCTGAGATTGTAGTGCTCGGCGTTCAGCTCACAGCTTCTGCAGTTACAATTGAAAAATGTGATAATAGTGAAAGTCATTATTTCTGTGTGTGTTTTCATTACTTATTTCTTTCTGTTCTGATTCTTCTCTCTGTCTTTTGTTTTCTTTCTCAAACAGTTTCTCAAACTTTCTCTATCTCTTCTCTGCTGTTTCGTTTGTTGCGCAGTGTGGATCTCTGTCTATACTGTTTCCCACTGGTGAACTCCTCTAATTACTGTCATCAATCAACTTCAAACACACACACACAAACACACACAAGTGTACACACATGCACACTGCACATTTGTTTGCTTTATCAACATTTAGCAGAGCTAAATCAAACGTCCCAGTGTCATCTCTCTGTCTCTCAGATTTCTGAAGTGGTTTTCTTTACATATTTATTCATTGCATTTTCACCTTTCCATTTCCATCTGCTTTACGGTTTTTGGTATACATTCATAAGACCGTGCTATCTTTAGACACTTGAAAAGGATGGGGTTTTTTCTGATACACGCTCTCTTCCTTTTTTCGTGTATTGATTGTCCTACTTCTTTATTTCTTTAGATAATTGTTTACTGGTAGTTTTTTTGTGTGCTTTTTTTCCAATCTTTTTTGACGATTTATCTGCAATTATTTTGTATTGTTTGTTTTCTCCACAGAACCCATTAACAGCTGCACTATGTGACCACACAGCGGGTGTTCACTCTATCATTACACCCACACTGTGTAAATGTGTTGGACCTCCTGCAGGGATCTGCTCCCATTACAGAATTATTGAGGTCCACTGCTGGCTGGTGTTGGTGAGAGACCATAGTGGGGCATTCAATACCATTGAGATCAATAATAACCGACACGCTTAAGCAGCAGATGGGCCTCTGTGATCTTATATCATTCACCATCTCTATGTATATAATCAATATTATGCTGATGATACATTACATGTCACTTGTTAGACGCTTTATCCAAAGCGACTTGCATACTCAATACTGTGGACAATCCCCACAGGAGCAATGTGGGGTGAAGTGTCTTGCCCAGGGACACAACGACATGCTGACTGCAGTGGGGTTTGAACCTGTGACCCCCTGATCCGAACACCAACGCACTAGTCCACTGCGCCACAGCCTCCACTATTACACTAGTGTACATCTCTGCCTCTCCCAAAGACCCCAATGCACTGCATGGTCTCATCTCCCTGACATTGATATAAGGATGGGACATTAATCTGTCCCTAAAAGACAATGGGTTTGTGGGTAATTTGACAGGGGTGCACTGCCCTCATATATGCCCCCATGTTTTGGCCCTGTAGTGTAATATCATTTCACCAATAAGTCCTCATTTGAAGTCTGGTGTGATATCACAGTTGTCTTTATCAAAAATATACTGCCTATCAGTGTAATCTGTAATATAACCTTCTTACTGTCAACACCAACTTAAATCCACCATTGAGGAAAGTGAAAATAGAGACATAGCGAAATAAATAATGCCCCAATAAACATCTTACTCTGAAACCTCGCATATTCTATCAGACGATGGTGATCTTATCTGGGTTGCCTTGGTCGCTGCTTTGCTGACAGTGCTGCTGTGTCACTTTAAGGATGTAGAGTGCTGACTCGTTCTGTGTCGTCAGTCATCTGTGCTTTAACCTCGATTCCTCCTCGGGTATTCACTGCATTCCTATCTCATTGATATATTATCTAAGAACCCTTTCCCAAGTCCTTTTTTGTCCTCCAATTGCCAATGTTCCACCTTGATACTTCTATCACCCAGCACATACTTAGCCACAGTTTTAATTTAAAATGTCACAATGGAGCAGACAGTCCTCAGTCTGCCCTGGTCGGCCTTTTAGACGCTTGAGTTACTGGTTAATAAGCCAGAAGGAAACATTTGGCCCTTAGCAACAGCATGTCTTAAGGGAGACTCGGCTCAGAAACGCTGCCAAAAAAGCACATTGACCTCAGTTGACATCGTCACCGTTTTGCACTTGTGAATGATTACTTGGTCAGCTGTGTTCACCTCCACTTTGCTCCTTTTGGCTGCAGGGCAAGCACCCTTGGATGAGAGATTCCAGCAGAAGTTAAAATCCTTCACAACTGCACGCAAAGATTGATGTTTTTAATCCACATAAAGAGGGTAATGACCAGAGAAATGTGATAGATAATGAAGCACAAACACTTTTTTCACAGTTAAAAGTGGACAAAAGTAGCTTCCTGGGAACCTTTTGACCTGCTAGGTCATAAACACAGGAGAGAAACACTATTGAAATCAAACTTAAAAGATGGGAATCCATGTTTTTATTGTTAGCCTCTCATGGCTTTTATGTATTGTTAAACATATTGGCCATAGTATATTGTTGATGAAATAAGCCTTCACATTAAAAACAAATAAACAAGCTCTGAACATAGTTCTACATATGTGTTAATATTGTATTCTATTATATTCACAGAACATTTAACCCATAAGAACCCGGACACATTTCTACTTTTGGGGAAATTAAGGGGAACATAATTTAGACTAAATATAACACCTACTGTAGAACACATTTCTGACAAGTAACCCCCCCTCGAGTCAAATATCTGAAATGTGACGTATATATCACATTGGGCTTTAATGGTAAAATAACGCTTATTTATAACTTAATTAATGAGGATGATTTTTTGGTTTAAATTAGTTTGAACATTCTTTGAATTGAAGAATAAAGAATATATTAACTAAATATAATTGAATCAGCTAAATTAACTGAGCAGATCATAATAATATTTCTAATTGTGCATATATGTCACTTTGGGTTTACTGTGAAAGTTTAGGGTTCAAGTCCCGATCAGTGTCACAGCGATGTTTGTCTCATTTGTTTCATATCAATTCAATCAAGAAATGTTTCCACAACAGGTTAAATATAAGAAAGGACATGTTATGTACGCATTGTAATTCTTAAATGGCTTGAATTTTACCTTTTAGCAACACAAAAAAAGCTTTTGAAATGTAGCTAGTTCTGTCACGTGTGTTAGTCTGGCACATGGACATCTTGGACATGTTGTTATGGGAACACAAAATCAAATTACCTGGCCCACTGACTGTTCAGTGTGTGTCACTTAAGGACATGAGATAAAATAAAGGCTAAAGCTGTATAAGGAACTTTCCAGAACATTTAAAGGTCATGTGACACCTGTGTCACGTTGGGTCCTTATAAGTAGAACCATTTTTAGATTTGAAAAATACAAAAAACGAACTAACAAGCTGAACAGCAAAAGCAGGCTACACTAATGTCTAATTAAAGTCCTGTTAAGTAACCAATTGTCATAAGCACGAGCGCATGCTGTAAGTAATAACAAGCCATGTATTGGCTGCACGAGGCTGCTGCGTCACTTCCTGTTAGAGGACTGTCAGAGGAGAGCGAGCCGCCAGCCTCAGTCTGTCGCTGTAGTAACGGAGACACCGAGCAGCCGGTCACCGCAACACCGCAGAGGTACGGAAAATAAAACTAAACCAACACAAAACCGACTGAAACACGTCTTTCGCTCCGTGTAACTCTGCTGGAAAGATATTTATGTCAACTTCAGTTCGTTTGGAACTATAACCGAGACCGGAGCGGGAAGTTTGGACTCCTCGGGACGCTGAGCACGAGCTCGAAAACAACTTTTTTTCTGCTTCTTCGTTGAGGGGATAGCTTTTCTTTTCGAGTTGCTAACGAAGCAGAGGACGAAGTCGCCTGCAACTCGTTTTAAGTCCTCGTATTATTGTTTTACTCCGCCTCGTGGAGCTGCTGCTGACGGTGAGACACCAGAGAAGCGGCGGTTCGGTGGCCACCTGACCTGCTGGGAAATTAGACCGTAGCTAATGACAGCAGGCTGGATCATACTGCTGCTCATTACTAAGCTCTGCGAGGAGCGGGACGGGGTTTCCGAGAGGCTGTTGCATGTCCATCCTGACGCAGGTGAAGTTTGCAGAATCTAATTAATGATTTCTAAATTATGGTAAGTGCTAATTAATTTGTGTCAGGTGTGAAATTGAATTAGCTGGACTAAACTGCCCGTAGAAGTTGCCCCTTTTCATCGCCTCACTTAGCAAATTGCTACTAATCGGCGGATCATCTGTCAGAGGCGGGCAGCATGGATATAACCGGAGTGCCCGTCCTCCAGCGGTCGTGATGCCAAGCGCCGGTGTAACCCCGCGCTGCGAGCCCGTAATGCCTGCTCTCTAACCCGCACCAGTGTGGCGCCGTGTCCCGGTCAGCCCGCCACGATGAGCAGCACCGACCTGGAGCGCATGTCGCTCAGCTCCTCGGCCAACTCGGTGGCTTCCAGTGCCCGGACGCTGTCGGCCAACGTGAGGAAACTGCACAACGCGCTCAACCTCCTGCTCAACGACTTTGAGAGGGAGCAGTTCATCCACTGCCTCAACGTGTACCACTCCAAACGCAACGTGTACGACCTGGTCCAGACCCTCAACGTCATCCTCAACGCGCCCAGCAAGCGGCAACTTCTGCCCATGCTTCGGTTGGTCATCCCCCGCTCCGACCAGCTCCTCTTCGAGCAGTACACCTCGGAGGGCCTCTACTTAAAATCGGATTCAGTTGCGAGCAATGGCAACGCCGAACCCCCGCCGGGAGACTTCCCCAGTGCCAGCCCTACTCCCCCGGGGCATTTCTCACCAAACAACCCGCCTGAGTTTCAGGTGGCGTTGCGTGGCTCTCCGGACAGCTTCAGCACCAGCAGCGAAGGGACAGCTCCCCTGGTGCCTCTGCTCGGGAGGAACTTTGTCCACGAGCCGCCGGGCGAGATCCGGCAGGTCACCATGAAGAGACACAAGAGCAACGAGGGCCTGGGCTTCAGCATCCGCGGAGGGTCCGAGCATGGGGTCGGGATCTACGTGTCCCTGGTGGAGCCGGGGAGCCTGGCGGAGAAAGAGGGTCTTCGAATCGGCGACCAGATCATGAAAGTCAACGACAAAGTCTTCGACAAAGTCACCCATGCTGATGCTGTAAAGGTAAGTTATTGATTTCACCACACATGCACAATTTGAGCTGTTGCATATGTAATCCTTTCCATACAGGCTGCAAATTAGTATCCTGCAGAAAGTTGGTTACTAAATGTCAACGTCAGGGGAACTTTTTTTTGCACTGCCTTGTGCTTTGGACACATGTCCTGTGTATAATAAGCTCATGCATCTTTTGTTAATTATGTGTTTGGCTTAAGAGTCTCACATTGACCTCTTGAAGCCAATAAGCCACGATTTGTTAAGGGAAATTGATTTTGTTGTCAGGAAGCAGCTGGTCTATTTGTTGTATCAGCAGGCAGTGTAGTGAACTGCAACCGTAGTGTAGTGACTACCTCTAAGCAGCATGCAGGAAACCAGACTCCTTTAAAGCAGCTGGTAACCATAGAGGTGTGTGTTGTGGTATGTGTGTGTCAGAAAAGCTGGATGTTGGCCCTCCTACTCTAAAGCTATACACTGAGAATAAATACAGTATACTGTAGTAGTCTGTGCACTGTGGTTCATGCCACTGAGTGTAAATAACATCTATTAGTAAATTAGGTGATAAAAGTGCATGTCTGATTTGTGAAGATTGATTTAGGAGGAGACCTTGTGAGGTCCTTGGTTTTATGATTCCTATGAGCTGTCCATGGTGCTGAAAATTAATCTGAGCGTTTTCTTCTTTCTCCTGACAGTGTTTTACTCTTTTATTCTCTCTAGCATGCTCTTCTGATCGATTGTGTGATTCATCTCCTTCTCACCTATGCTCTATCCACATCACAGGGATTTTTGTTATTTCACAATTCATCTTTGAAGCATCTGGCAAATTCCACTCATTGTCAGTTGTTTTGACATTGTTTTGATTTAACTTCAATGTAGTTTTTTTATGGTCCTCATTGTGGAAAAAATCTTTGCATTGACCATAATAAACATCCATTACAATAAGAAGACTGGAAGAAACATAGGGATAGCTAGGAGTTCAATCATATGCTGTCAAATACAGTTCAGTAGGCCTGTAAAGTACAGTGTGCAAATTCTGCAAAGATAGGGCAAATGTGCAAACTCAGCAAGGGGTGGTATGATGGGAGGGTGGGGGGTTGGTTGTGTTTGAATTCAACATTTGAACTGAGCTTGAGACGATTTATTCCTTGTTGACACTTTGGTGGCTCGTGCAGGCTTACTGAGGGAAATAACCTGCATTCAGATACAATGGGTGGGAGGTTGCACTTGTATGTTGTTATGACCTGGCTCAAAAGGCCACAACAAAGGAGACACACCATATCAAAGGTTAACAAAATATGTTTATTTAAGCAAGTAATTCAAATTAACCAAATTAATTGAAGTGCAAAGTAGGTAAAGCATGAGGTGTGGACGTCAGTGGTATCAGTAGTGTAAATGCAGGGTGAGGGTTGCATGGACATGTATGTGTGAGGGTGTTGAGGTGCACAAAGTAAAGCAACTGAAGTAACTAATAGCATACTCAACAGAACCGGGTGGCTGTAGGAGAAAGCAGAGAGGAGACAGAGGCCGTTTCTCAATGTTGAGTAAACCTGCTGCAGAGCCACTATTGCAAGTATACTACGTCATCGAGTGGCGCCGAAGGACTGTTTAAATGCATGTTAAATGCCCAGCATTCGGCGCCACTCGATGACGTAGTATACTTGAAATAGTGGCTCTGCAGCAGGTATACTCGACATTGAGAAACGGCCACAGAGGCTTTAAGTAGCTGCAGGGCACCAGACCCAGGTGCCCTAAGTTACTGCAATCAAGGCTGGACACAGCACAGCCACACCCTCTCCAGATGAACCCACAGGGGCATCACACATGTCAACAGTTTTCTTTTGGTTATCCAGTACATGCCTCGTTTTGGTCGCATCTAAACACTCTTTATAGTTTCCCTTGACTTTTGACATGTCTATGCAAAGCGACCATGTAAAAAATACATCAGTTAGGTACACCATTTTATGAATATTATTGCATATCCAAAAGCCATTAAGCGTCCTGATGATGTGTAATTATGGTGCCCTTTAGTTTTTTCACACTCGTAGAAAATGACACTAATAAATGTATTCTTGCAGAATTGTTCTCATGCTGCAGTGACCTCTCTCATAAAACAAATTGTAATCCTAGGAGAATAAAAATATAATTGTTTCCCATTATTCCAGCTACGCAGATTGCCCTTACCTGTAGTTCTTAAAAAGGGAACTATTTTTCAGCAAAATGTATAAATAAGAGAGGCAACAATAGTCCCTGTACAAAGTGTGAGATCTCTATAAGCTGCTTTTTAATATTGTGTGTAGTTTCAAAAGTCTCAAGTCTGTTCACAATGGATTATAGCTCAAATGGAGTCCTTGCTAACCTTCACTGATCTGGAAAAGGCTCTTGTGGTGACTTTAGTAATTTCGGCTCTTGCCTTCATTATATCCACATTACTGCATTTATTACGTTGTACTACTTTGTATTTTGAGCCTTTAACCACTGGTTCAGTCCTATGGCACACGTACTCTGGTTGCCTGTGTCTGAGGAAAATGCATAATCCCCATGTGTTAATACATCATTATTTACTTGCGTGATGATGTGTGTAAAATAAATTAGGTCATTGGCCTAATTTTGTGTTTGTAGTTCCTCTAAATGTGCTCTTCAAACTGAAGACCATCTCTGCACCTCATATTGAAAGTAATAGTCAGATAGAATGCTAAGGGCAGAATTAACCATGCATGTTGTTCCAATCAATTCTCTCAAAATTCCATGTTGATTTTTTCATAGGTTTATTTCTGAGTGGACTTAATTATTTCGATTTAGTCTATTTGGGTCGGCTGTGAGACTAAGGAGTGAAAACAAAGATCCTTTCAAATATGCTGCTTATACACATGTTCTCTGTAAAAGAAGAAGATGAAGATGGACCTTTATTAATCCCTGGTAATAAATTCAGTTTCCACTCTGTCGTACACACACATGCGTTTTTATACAGGTACAGGTTTATACACACAGTACACACTTTTTACATCATGCACATATATATACAAATACACACACATGCATACACATGCAGTTGAGAGGTCAGAGCGGAGGCAGCCAGTCTAGCTGGCGCCAGTGAGCAGTTGGGGGTTGGGTGCCTTGCTCAAGGGCACTTTGGCAGTGGCCCAGGAGGTGAACTGGCTCCTCTCCAGTACCAGTCCGTATTGTTTGGTCTGATCGGGACGTGAACCGGCGACCCTTCGGTCCAAAGTCCAATCCCCTACAGACTAGGGATGGGAACGATTAATCGAATATTCGAATATTCGAAATTATTCAGGTATTCGAATAATTATTCAGGTATTCGAATATGAGTTATGAATATTTTTATTAATTTTTATTTATTTTTTTTTTTTTTGGGAGGGATGCCTAAGTTGATTACATATTATCAAATTGAATAATTCAATGTATACACAGTGCCATAGCTAAATGTGTTAGGTGACGTCGAAAGGTGTGTTTTGCTCCGCTCACCGGTCCCTCACAGCAGGCAGAGCTGCAGGTGCTGATCTCTCTCTCTCTCGCGTCCGGTACTTCACTCGCGTTTATGTCCAAATCCATCAGATCTAGCTAGTTCTAGCTAATGATATGGCTGCTGCCCCTCCCTACACGCAAATCACGCAGACTCAAACCTCATCTTATGCCCAAATGCGGCGCAAATGCGCTCCGCAGCCGTTGCGAGGTTCCGGCGCTAACAGTTCATGAGCGTGCTCCCCCGCCCCCTGTCAACACTCGCGACACATGAGTGGCCAGCCTAAACAACAATAAGCGCTGCTTGGCAACCGTGTGTGGCGGCAAAGTACATAGAGATTTTGACAGGAGAGATTTAGTTTTGCCGGTATTCAACATATTTTACCAGTCATAGTCCGGTAATTATTTACACTCTAAGAAGAGTCCTACACAACAGACATGGCGTCAAAAAGGAGTAATGTGTGGAAATATTTCGACCAGGTTAGTGAGTGCGGTGTAGAGTGCAAACTATGCCAAATTAAACTTATATATATACATATACCTTGCTATACCCGCAACCTCCGTTCCAGCTGAGAGGGTCTTCTCTACAGCTGGCCTGATTGTGAATCGCCTCCGCACATGAAAGCTGTAGGCCTATAGCTGTCAAACTGTGATCACCAGTTCAATACATTTGACAAATTCGACTTGGTTTCTATACTTATTTGAACATGTATATATTTATTTCCAAAATTTATTGAAAATCTTTTTTTCGAAAAAAAGTTAGAATATTTTTTTTTACCCAATTTTTTTTTTATAGGATATGTACATTTCGGTTAACCGGTTAACCGTTTTTTGGGCGGTCGAATATTCGAATATACATTTGCTTTCAAATTCCCATCCCTACTACAGACTGAACCACTGCCGCCCTAATAGTATGCTGTTGCTGGTATTAGTCTGACTAGACATGCACTCAGAAAGCTTGTCTCCAAGATGAAATCCCCCTGGAGGTCATTACTGCTCGACTTGACATGCTTGAAGTTTGTAATGCTTTCTGGGTGTCGTCTAAATGCTATTACATGCTTTGAGGTCTGTAATCATTGTACCCATTTAAACCTCTGAAACCTACAAGGGAGTTCATTACCCACGCAGGAAAACATTGTACAAACCTACACAATTATGTTTTATATTTGGTGGTGATACCAGATTATTCAATTTCTAACTTAGGTCATATTTGGTTTGAATATTTCTCTCAATAGGTTTAGTGAAAGCTTGAGTTCTTTGTTAGACAGCATCACATATCTTGCTTTTCTAACAGAGTTTTGCCACATTTAGGAAACAGGTTCAATTTCTAACATGTTATACAACCCTTTTTCACCTTTCATTCATTATAGTTTCTAATAAAATGACATGCACGCACTTGAACGTTCTTTTTTTGGGGGGGAATTGAATGCCATATCACAAAATACCAGCCAAGTCTGAAAAAAAACAGCTGACTGAATGTAGGCTTCTGGCACATTTGACGGATGAAATGTCAACCTTGATTAAGCTGC